TATCTTGCTCTGACATTTCTTAAGAAATGTCAGTTCCATTGTTCTGTCTCAAGATGCACACATGTATAGATGATGCAACCCCTTCGAGGACCTCAGATGATACCAACCCTGAAACAACATACAGAATTACCACATTTTGCTATAAGTTTGATTGCATCATATAATAATTGCTGTTAATATTGTTCATCGTCTGTTTTATTAAGTCTTACATTGATTTTTCTGTACTGCTGGTTCGTCTGGTCAGAGGAGAACTGGCCCCCCGACTGAGCCTGGTTTCTCCCAAGGTTTTTTCTCCATTCTGTCACCGATGGAGTTTTGGTTCCTTGCCGCTGTCGCCTCTGGCTTGCTTAGTTGGGGACACTTCATTTCCAGCGATATCGTTGACATGATTGCAAAGATATTATTTAAACTGAGCTGGATGTTGACATCACTGAATTCAATGATGAACTGTCTTTAACTGAAAAATTAGTGTTTACTATTGTCATTTTGCATTATTGACACTATTTTCCTAATTAATGCTGTTCAGTTGCTTTGACACAATCTGTACTGTTAAAAGCGCTATATAAATAAAGGTGACTTGACTTGACATGTAATGTTTTCTTCTAAGCTATTTTTATAAAAGCTGCTTAAATATCTTAATTTAACTAAGGCCTAGTCCTGGTTTAAGCTAAGCCCCATCTGTGAATCCAGGCCTTAGTTATGATATTTCTAACTCCACTTAATGGGCACATAATCACTCTGGAACCAGAGCAAAATGACTTCATAGCAAGGTGATCCCAAAACACGAAGATGCAACCCAAAGTCCTTCACTGCACTGTTAAAGGCATTCACACTTTAAGAGACTTCCAAAAATTGGTCACTGACAAAACATTTAATATATAATAAAATATTGAAGATTTATGTTTCAAAAAAGTATTTATGCACAGTCAGTACACCACAACTTTATCACCTTGGAATATTAAGGTTCTATCTGACATTTTTGTCAAAAAGTTATTCACATATTCTTATTCTGTGACAAATTATTTACATTATGTAATGTGTTTGTGTGTGTGGGGGGGGGGGGGGGAAATTTTGAGTACTTGTGGGTTC